TAAACTCATTTTTTGAGTATGAAATTAGAAGAAGACGAGAATTCTACCGAATATGTATAAGAATGAATATTTCCATGCGTGCTTTCTATTAAATATAATTGAATTTTCAATGGCATCGAAAATCAGTGAGAAAATTGCATGCTACATAAGTAATACTTTTTTGCAGAGCATAGATCTTGCATGCAACCGAAAATGAGTTTTTTCCAAAGCCGACACCCTGGGGTAACGGGATCATTATAGACTTATGCTGTATCATGATTAGTTTTACAACACTTCTTTATTTATCATTTCAAAACAAGAACGCATTTCGAAATTTTGATTGACATATCATGAGTAATCACATCTACCGATCGTATTCTCCGAAATTTCTTCATAAGGTGGAAATGCTTTTTTCTTCTATGTTCAAGATCTTTCTTAAAAAAATAATTCTCAACATAATTCTCCTCGCCGTGTACAGCAGTTTTCACAAATGATTTACTTAACATATTCCCATGTGGAATAACATAGGAAACGTCGTAAGGATTAACCGTACGCCAAGAAAAACTCTGCCGGACAAAGTGCTACCTCATGCACCATTCCACACACACTAATTCAAGCTGTTTCATATTGTAGTTAAAACCTATGATAAAACCGAAGACGGACGAACGAAATTGCATTCTCTTCGCTGTTAAATGGCGATTGACTGTCGTAAGGATTTACCATTCTGTCATCTGAGGTGCTAGCTAAAAGCCAAGACACGCTGGTTCTGTCAGTCATGTGCCGCTACACGAGGTAAAGGCGAGGAGTTCGGTTTGGGTTGTCAAACAGCCTGCGTGATCTAGCTGATGAAAGAGCGGACTGAGTGAAGACATAAACTAATACAGAATGACCACCTGAGACCTTATTCGTAGCTTCACAATCATACGAACACACACAGATATTTCAGCCAAATATTGCAAATACGTCTCTGGACACTCTCATTTATTGCCAAGATCGGTCGCAGTATCATGATATTGGCTGTAAATAATTTGCCTCATGCATAAATGCTGTCATTGCCACCACATTCCCAAGCACGTTTATGTTCATCTAGAGTGTTCTGACGATCGGAAAGCACCAGCTAGGAGACGGCGTGGCGCCTGACCTTCCACCCTGAATTCTCGTTACAACGCTATTTGGACTAAGATATCGACTCGAGACTTTGCAAACGCCCCATGTGATCTGGCCGATCAGGGAGCTGATTGAATATAGATATAAACTGCTACAGAATAACTAATCGCAACCTATTTCGTAGTTACTCCGTTGGCAAACCACACCCAAATTTCAGGCAGCTTCTAGAACTTCGGACTCTGGGCATTAGAATTCATTGTCAGTGGTCGCGAGCAGTTCTGCAGCAGCAGCATCTTAAACTGCATCAGATATCGACAAACGTATGTCATTGACGACATAGCTAAGTATGACGACTACAACTGGAGATTCCCGATTAAACGTTCGGCCTACTTGCCCTTTACACGGGTGCTAGATAGGAAGGTTTTGCATATTACAGGTAGGTAGGATTTTGCAGAAAATATCGCATAGGGCATTTAAACAACATCTTCATGCAGATTTCAATCACGTGAACCCGCACATGCGGCTGCGTGGGACTATTTATTTTGGCGGCAATCCAACAGCCTGAATAAATTGCATCAGTATGGACAATGTGTAGATATTCGCTGATTGTATAGTTATAGCCTTCTCTCTGCATTTTCTCCAATTTAACAGTTTAGAAAGAATTCCTATGAACCTTTGAGCTGGCGGATGTTTGTGAATTCATCAGAAGTGTCGGTGTCCTGGAAATCTGTCTGGCGACTACGCGCTGCCTTCAGAGTATGCTGTGTGCATCACGTTGTGCACAAACCAGGCTTCATTGTAGGGGTATTTTATAATGCTATGTATTAAAACTTCATGTGCGTGTGATGCAGGTTCCCAAATAAGCAGGATTTGATAATGCCCACCCTCTAAAATAATACCGCTTATCACAAGGCCTGCTCACTTGTAGTAAAACAACCTATTAAATTACCAGCTACATTAAACATAAACAGCGTACAACAATTGCATTTTTTGAGTTGCAATATGTAGTCCAATAAATTTCTCAGATTTTACCCACGCAGAGTCTAATACCCTGTTCATGCAGTATGGTAAGCATTCTATATCCCTAATGCAACCTCCTAAATTTCACCCAATTTTAAGAAATGCACCGAATGTAATTTCATGTGGTCTAATCGAATATTTTATTGTTAACCCTCAGTAGTAGATACTGTAAAACTCTAACTTAATCGAAATTCAGATTTAAAGGCATTTTGTACGTAGAAGCTGTAACTGGCAAAATATATCTCACATTTTCACATAGAAATTCCTTTCGACATATTTGCTGACTGTGATCTTATATATGAATTCAGGGTGGCAGAAGAATGGGCGGAGTGGAGTCCTAGAGCGTCTTTTCACCGGATGAGGGGATGCTGAGGCACGATACCACACTCACCTCCGACGATAAAAGCTTGTATGCTTTTGAAAAGTCAGGACAAGAAATCTATGGTTCCCGAAATCGCCTTTTCTTCTCAATATATACATATATACAAATACTTCCGGAAATTATCCGGTGCAGCTCATGGCAAAAAAGTCACTTAAAAATGACATATTGATCGAGTTATTTCGTTCCGCATTACTTTTCTATAGTTCTACCTTATTGATTTATTTTTGGACGGTCTAAAACTTAACCTGTTCATGACTACCTAACATTTTATTCAAAACACCGCGCAAAGTGCAAAACACCGGCTTTCTGCTAACAAAGAATTTGAAGGTTTATACTAGCTTGATATTTTCGTTTTTTCTTCATTTGATAAAAGGTATGCCTTAATTACTTCCCAGTTTTCAGCGATCTGCAAAAGGAAAATTACTAAAATCCTAAATAAACTGACCTGTTTCTGACCACGTCTCCTACATTCATCCAAACATTCACAAAATCCGGTGGCTTTCCAAACCGACAGATTTGTAGGACGCACTTGAAGTGCTTGCCGTATATGATCACCTGGATTTCCCCGTTGGTTTACTAATAAGTTAGAACTCATCGCGGATGTAAATGTTCTTTCAAAATGAGGACCTGCAACTAACACAATTTGGCAACGGTATTGCAGAGGACCTTAAATGACTGTCGGTGGAATGTTGATCGTGTAATACAGAAGTGCTGACAATGAAGCCTTTACGGATAAGGCTGCACTTCCGAGAATATGTTGCCGAGTTGCAAGGAAGCACCGCAATTGTCGTATAGTGCGCTTTCGTGTGGCAACAAAAATATGCGCGTTAATCAAAAATGGGCAAAACCAAGTAATAGAAAATAACAACAATTTTTAGTGCTTTGAGGTTCTATGAAGTAAATGTTGTTGGCAGTGTAAATTCTGCAACAGCCATGAGTGGATTCTAATTTGAAACCTCGTATGACACGATCAACAGTCTACAGAAAGAAAAGCGAGGTCCCTCATACTATGATTGCCAAAAATTGTATACGACATATAAGTGTTTCTCAGTCGGCTTCCTACTTACATGGTTTAAACTATACTATAAAATGCCTCAGGTGGCAACTCCTTGTCGCCGCATTCATTCAAATTTGGGTGCAGACAGAAGATACTGTTTGGCATTATTACGCGTTAAGAGAAAAAATATGTACGTGTGTCAGGCAATCAATACTAATAACGGTAGAACTCATTTCTGCCGCGCAGATTTGCTGTGCTGCCTAATATCACGGAAGGCAACACTTTATAAATTATTGTCATAAAACCTCAATCGCACTATCGTATCTTGAACTCTTTGCAAACTTTCATAGCAGACCCCACAGGAATTGCTCCAATAAATAATGCAATTTTTCATCAATAAAATGGATCTTGTGAAAATTGCTTTCTTTCTACGAATCTCTTTAACAGCAATGAAAATGAAAAAAGCTGCAGTCTGGGACATTCGTACGGAAAAACATGGTCCAAAAACGTACGATTTCTCCCACACTTGTATGTCTGAATTGTCAAGGAGGCCCGATATAATTCAAATTAAAACTTGCCTATTAATATTATATAAATGGCCTCAACAGGAACCAACCATTAGACTCAAGTTTAAAAAAACATCCAGAAGTATCCTAAATCAAAATACCATACCAGTTGTAGAAACACGGTTAATTAATGGATAACCGTGAATAGTTGAGTTTAATCTCAGCATTAATCGCAAAAAGCATTAAATATGAACCTATGCTTTTAAAATAACATTGTTTATGAAATGTGGATATGATGGATAACCTTAGATATCTCGTGAAATATGTACGCATTTTACGCGTGGGCATGAAGTCCCTTCGTATTACGGGGCCAAAATGAAGAATAAAGACCCCAAACTGCATCATCTTTGGGCATAGATATACAGTAATTTCACGGAAAGTAGATAACTTTTTAATTTCACAGTCAGTGAGATAATGCTAAATGATACGGAGCATTTCGCCTTATTTGCAGATAAAAGCGACAAAGAAGCGAACGCTTTATTTGTGTTAAGTGTCAATCTGCCGCCCAGCCACACATAAATCTGAATAAAATTGTCACACGCAACCATCAGAAAACAGTTATGTGTCCATTAAGAAGGCGTTTTTCCCTCCACATTTCTGCTTCTCTTTTTCTGACGGTGAATACTGTTCAAAAAACATTCTTGGTTTGCATCAAACGTCGAACAAATTGTCAACTTAGTTGTTGTACAACAATTAACAATTAACGCTACTATAAAAGATTAGTTATTTTTATGTTGCGTCCGAATGATTTTTTTGCTAAAGAAAACTAGTCGCTGGTAAATCAATGTCACTATTCATTTCCGAGATCATTGGTTTATTGTATGCATTGTATCTATTGTATTCATTATATCTAATCGGAATGCATACCCCCTCTCAGCTACAACGTATATTCGGGCGTCAAACGCTTATTTTCACCAGACGTTGGGAGAAATTTACACAGAGACATGCTATGACTAGCGAACAACTGACTTTCCTCCACCGCTGTCGCGATCACGGTGTGTTACCGAAGTCTCTTCGTTTCAAACCTACGTTGCCGAATGAGACCGGGAGATTTCTTGCGCGCAAATACGGATGGCGTGTTTTGAGTGCTATAATTTCGGACGTTCACAATCGTCTCCACATATTCGAAGCTAAAATTACTGACCTAAAAAATCAGTGCGCTTCAGCGCTACCTGAGCACGTATTCGAGGATGTGCAGCAAAGAATTAACGCCACCACCAAGGATGCAAGATTGAAGAAAAGACTTGATCTCCAGGAGAAACTCCAATCACTTCTCCGTCCTACAAACCAAGGAGATCTGACCACGAGAGTTGTCAACCTATCGAAGAGGAGTCTCTCACCTGCGGAAATCACCCTCCTATCCAAGGGGATAGGATTTAATCATGCGGATGCCACACCTACCGACTTCCTAGCTGGGATTGAGTCTATACTACTGGCATCCAACATTCCGGAAGACATGCGCGCAAACATACGAAGCTGCGCCACCGGTATTCTCCGGCAAAAAAGATACCAACAAAATCTACCGGCCGAAGAAGCGCAAGCATTACGATCATTGAAGTCGGATCACAGTATTGTTGTTGTTCCCGCTGACAAGGGTGGCGCTACTGTCATCATGGACAAAGTTGAATATGTTAACAAGGCGAATGAAATCTTCAGTGACATAGAGGCCTATACAGTTCTTGCTGAAGATCCGACTAAAAAGCAAGCTGCAGCTATCAAACAGAAAGTTAACGAGCTCGCTCGTTTGAAAGTAATCAGTCCAGATGACTCCAAGTTGATGACCCTCAGTGATCCCCACATCGCACACGCGAACGGCCTCCCAAAAGTGCACAAAGTGGATGTCCCCCTGAGGATCATAGTGCCACTTATCGGATCACCCACTTACAATATAGCTAAGTGGTTATACAGTCGTCTGAAGCGGCTCACTCATGGATCGGATTATAGCATTAACAACTCTCAAGCGTTCCTCCGAAGGGTACAAGGCCTCAAAGTAAGTACCGATTAATGCTTCCTGTCCTTTGACGTCGTTGCCTTGTTTTCTTCCATACAACACGATTTGGCGATTGAATGCGTAACCCAACGTCTACAGAACAACCCTATTGTGATCCCAACGCAGCATGTTTTAGAACTGCTAAATCTTTGCCTTAGGAACTATTGTCAATTTGATAATAGGTACTATCAACAGGTAAAGGGAACCCCGATGGGCTCACCAATATCAGGACTGCTCGCCGAACTAGTTTTGCAGCGACTTGAAGAGATAGTTTTCCAAACTATCAAGCCTAAACTATGGCTTCGTTATGTTGATGACACCTTTGTCATAATAAGGAAGTGCGAAGTCGAACGGCTTCACCAGAGCCTGAATGGCGTTTTCCCAGCCATACAGTTTACCCGCGAAGAGGCGATTGGAGACAACTTGCCGTTTCTGGACGTGAGGATACATAAGTTGAGGAATGGTAGCCTGGCAACAAGCGTCCATAGGAAAGACTCTAACTCCGAGATTATCCTCAACTATGGAAGCAACCACCCTGCAGCTCACAAAAGAAGCTGCGTCCGAACACTGTTCCACCGGGCCTACCGTTATTGTAACAGCAATGATCTCCTGAAGAAAGAGCTTGCTCACCTGTATCGGTTATTCCGCTCTAACGGATATCCGATCAGTTTTGTAAAGAACTGTCTCAGGCAGCAGACACAGTCGCAAGACGCCACCCCCAACGGAGAGATTGTGACGCAAAAATTCTTCTCCTTCCCATATATGCGTGGAACTTCTGAAATAATCGCCCGGCAGTTCAGCCGCTTGGGTATTCGCGTTGCCTACAAACCGTCATCTTCACTACGCGCAGCACTATCTCGAGTGAAGCATCCCATCCCGAAAGAGCAACAAACGAATGTAATTTATCGCATCCCGTGTGCCAATAGCTCAACGGACAAAACGCAAAGCACATTGAACCCACATGTTTTTAGACTGCATGCTACAGAAGTCAAGAAGTAAAAAAACACCCAATTTATAATATGCGATCGTCTACTTAGTCGCTGCACATTTTCATGCCGATGATATTTGCCGGTTGAGCACTCTAGGAATCTTGATGAAAAAACAAGCTAAATCCTAGTCACACACATTGGTCAACTTTAACAAAACCAAATTGGTGCTCAATTTAATCTTCGCATTAGAACTACACAGGTTAATGGAGGGTGAGGAGGGTTGCTGCCCTCATTACAATTGCAGCTACCCTCAATACTAGTTTGCCTGATGGAAAAGTAGTACATCACATACACTCAATAATCAAAATAGAAAAACGCCGGTCGGAGATCTGGACCACGTGGAGAACCACAGAATTTGGCATCACATATGCATTGCTACTACTCTTCACAGACAGTGCGTGAATAAACGCCGAGCACATTTACTACTCATGGTGCCAAAATATTGTTGAAAATGTTACGTTTTATCTGGCAAACGTATTGGTAAAGGCAACTGTACGTACTGGGTACTGGAAAGGAGAAGAAAATCCGCAAGACCTGTTTCGGTCATTGCAGTGCACTTGCAGAAACTACATCATGAACGCATTGACGCTCAAGGAAGTCTTTATGTGTGAATGCCAATAATTGTTAACTGTGTCCCAAACGAGAGTTATTGTATGTGCAGCGGCCAAATAGCCAACATATCTACGGAACGCTTGAGCTATCTTGCAGGGCGTAAACCATTACGCAAGGTCAAAACGATTTTTATAATTATAATTTAAATCTGCATGCTACGCTTTTCAATCGCGTTTATTTTACTCAGTTTGCGTTTTCCCATGGTAAGTGGAATGGACAGTTGGTAAGATCCAGTAATTAACTGCTTAAGTCAGAAGATGATAACAGTGCGGAAGGCTACTGTTCAACTTCGTGCGCCATGGTTTATCTGACTGGTACAACCAGTCAAATAAATACCGCTTAAAACTTGTGCACGAGTGAAAAAAAGGCTGTATATCCTCATTTAACAGTCGGATGACTATAACGATATCCGGTAAGAACTGTTTACAACTTGAGAAGTGACAAATATGGCAAGTAATTGTCTGGGATTAATCATATTCAATAACGGACGTTGAACAGTCTCAGCGGTTGCTTATAACGACATTAGGTCGGATTCTAACCCAAAGGTTATCTATTGCTTAAGAAGTAATTTTAACTTAGGTGATGTAATTATCTACTGCATACAGACAAACGGATACGGAGTAATGATTTTTGCAGAACGATCGACCCCAAATGGCCTTTGAAACACAAGGACATTCATGAACACGCGATACTTAACTAAAGCTAATGAAAGACGAGTTGCTTTCTCGCGCTCCTTCATCTATCCTGTAGTTTCAGTGTAGAAAAGTCAGTGTTAACAGTGCCCGCTTTGTCGAGAAATGAAAGGAATATCAATCAAATCCACATGTGTCGGCACAGCCTTTGGTTACATTTGGGAAATTTATGACAAGGCGCTGTAAAGTGCCTCTTATCAGGACACTTTTTTAACTCTATCAGTAGACAGACTTTTCTTCTTATCGCATTCTGTTTATGGCCTTAAATGTAGTCGCTAATTGAGTTGTATCGCTCGCAACAGATCTCACCATCACCATATGCTCAAGAACTTGGCTGAGAACCCTAACAGACGGCACACGCTCTATTTTACGGTTGCATTTTAACTTCAAGCTATGCTAAATAGCACAATCGGCTGATCACTTGCGCATTTTCTGCGAAAGGACACATTCACGGCCAATGTCACAAATCCTAACGTTAGTGTTATTGGCCATCATAGAGGATCAACTTTCGCCTAAAAACAAGATCAGACCGCATGGAAGGCCTTGCTGCAGTAGAATCGATTATAGGTGTCCTAAAGGGGCAAAGAGTTGCGATATAGTATTGGGATGATAGCAAGTGCAGGCCTTAAATCTCCATATGTCCTACAAACATCAGTCTGCACATACTTCAGGCAATCACATGCATAGCGAGCGACCATCATTAAAGGAGGCTAATTTTGAATATGCGAGGTTCGTTGCTAGTTCAGCTCATATAACAACTCATCAAACGTGCATTTATGGGATCTGAACACACGTCCGTGGAAACTTCGTTCGACTACACTTTGAATCTGTCCTAAAGGCATGGACGGGCGACAAAAATGATTCAACATGCAAGAACTCTGTTCCGTAAAAAATTACTATCAGCAAACAACAATGAAGTGAACTTAAACGCCCCTTGAGCATTAAAAATGGCCACAAATGTTGACTTGTCAGCAATTATTTCTTTTACGCAGGCAAACACACCCACTTTGAGAGGGCATTCCCTATAACTAGGGCATGGGTAAAGCACGTACGCTGGTGTTGTTCCTTCTACCCATGTGGAGTCATTTATTTGACATGCGGAGAAGCTTTAAGGTTTTAGCTTCCCAAACACACGCACACACACATACAGTCATTACCAGTCATTGAATTGGCAAGTATAAAATATGTTAGTGGGTGTTTGTGATTACTCTTTTACGACTACCAAACATTTGCGTGCTTTCCGCATGAAGTTATCAAAGCGATCTCTTTTTTTTCATTTTCTAAACTTGTCCATGCACAATATAAGACAGTTTGCAACTGACATGTAGTCCACAGGCGTTTGTCTTCTCTTCGATTCAAAGGACTTTAGTAAGCTAAATTGATAGCGCTTAGTTTGCAGGTCAAGAAACTTAAATCCCATTGACACGATTTCTCGAGCTGAAAATGAAATTGGACATAAATTGACGAATGTTCACGGTTAAGGAGGTTTTAACGGTTTTGTGGATAACTGAGCGGCATAAAATCAGCAGCTGTCTGCATATGGCTAATTACAGGATATCTTCTTCTTTTCGGCACTGGACTGCCTGCACCTCATGATGTTACCCACCAGCCAATCAGCAGCAACTATGCGGGGCCAGAAAACAGCACGGACTGTTATTTCGCCGTCACTGTCGCCGACCTCCCCCCCCTTATCCCACCATCCACCATCAAAATGAAAACTGACGCTCTCCGTTAGCGTAAGTGATAAGGCGCACGCTCATGGTGAAATTTACAGCATTTATCCTCCCTCCCTCCCATGTTATTCTTTTCCAGATAATCAGCATTTCTTTATTGAAACCTTGTCAAATTAAGTAGTTGCAATGGTATGCTCACGGTTTTATCCAGTGTGATTGAAAGTGATCGCTAAATTTTCAGTACGACCCCAGTTAGTTGACCACTACTTAGCCTCCGATGCTGATCAATATTTTTATCAGTATTAACAACTTAATTTAAGTACTGTGTTCCAAAAGTCCACTGGTATGTATACATTAGTTTTAGTGAATTCTCGCTCAGGCAGTAATGTATTGCCTTTCGGAGCGCATCTTAACACTCCAGTCAAGTTTTTAAAAAATGTTGGATAAAATAGAAAAAGCAGTTATTCTGGTGAAGATGGCATTAGCCGCTGCTGTCTTTCAGGTCCTATGATATCTTATGACTATTTTCAGACGTATCAAAGCACTTGAAAATTTAACATAAGAAACAAAGTGTCGATATTAAAGACAAACCTCACCCAATATTCACACACATGTGTGCTGATTCATAACAAAATCCAGTTACCATCTTTACTGTTCCAGTAAATCCCTGGGTACAAATTATAAAAAGGCCAAATTACAAAAACTTAAAGAGACGTTTATTTTACTTTCTAGTCCCTGACGTTAAACTCATGGCATCACTGCAGGCCACGTATACACCAACATCGTTAAACATAGTATTTTACCACATCAGACCCAAATATGCTTTTTTATCAATTTATTTCCTTCAACAGTCTTTCGAAAAAATAACAGAGTGACTGACATGTTGGAAACCCGATGTAAGGAATAATGTTCTGAGCAGAAAAGTGAAAAAAGTAAAAATATTTTTAATGTTCAGATGGAGAACACGCTTGTTCATCTTCATTTTAAAACACGCACTTTTGTAGGCTACACAGTTTCGTTATGCTGATAGTTACTGCAGGCATTCTATG